GCCTCTGCCTTGCCGCCAGGGAATGCACAGTGTGGCACTCCTAGGAACTTAGTAACTGTTGAACGGCCCAGCAGGTGCCTCGGTGATTCCATGTGACTGGCCATCTGCTGCCCCAGTTTCCAAAGCTGTTGTCTCTCAGCTCCAGACCCCCCTGCTCTGCGATGCTGGGTCTGGGGCTCTCCAAACCTCATTTCTGCTTTGCCAGCAGTTCCGTGGGAGGCTCTACCCGGATGGACAGCTCGAGGGAGGCTGCAAGGCCGGTGGACGGAGAAGGGACTGTATCATCTCCCTGCCTGCTTCCTACTCCTATCAGCTTCACCCAGCGACAGTTTTCCCCAGCAGCTGGTTCCAACAGCACTTAATACCAATCTCAGTTCCCCCCCCCCCCCCCCGCACCCCTCGGAGTCACTGCCAGCACCAGCTAGGGCCCTTCTCCGAGGTTTAGGTCCCCAGGTCTGCAGGGTCCCTTCTCTGAGCTTCTAGGTTTTTTAAATTAAAAAAAGAGAGAGGGAGACACAGAATCGGAAACAGGCTCCAGGCTCCGAGCTGTCTGCCCAGAGCCCGACGCGGGGCTCGAACTCACGGACCGGGAGACCACGACCTGAGCTGAAGTTGGACACCCAGGCGCCCCCTGAGCTTCTCGGTTTTGACAACCCCAAGGAAGCATTTCACCCCAAGTGTGACCTTTTCCCTTTGTCTGCCCGACCAGCGGTTCTCAGGTCTAAGCCACGTGGAGGCTTGCTAAATTCCAGGGGCCGGGCCCCGCCCTCAGTGTTGGATTCAGTCGGAACGTAGATCCGGACATCCCACGGGCTACAGCTGGACTGGGGACCACACCGCGCACCCACCTGGTGCCGACCCAGAAGTGGGGGGCTGCTTCCTACAGTTACCAGCGGGCCCTTCATGACCTGCTTTGCCAGTTCCCAGTGTTAAATTCTGTTGCAGTAACTGGTTGCTGCTTTCCTAACTGGATCCTGCCATGACAGGGGCCACAGCAGTGCCACCCCTACCGAGAGCCTGTGTCGTCCCCACAGTACTGCCAGGGGCCACCCCTGCCCCTCCAGGGGCTCGGCAAATCAGCTGGCCCCGAATACTCCCGAGAGCAAGTGGGAGCTGTGGTTTTCCATTGCTAACGCAGGAAACGAAGGGGAGAATGGCGTCCCTTCTCTATGCACATGCTTGAGCCCCATCAGGTCCTCAAGGAGGGAAGAAACCAGAGGCAAGACTGTTAAAGTAAGACGAAGTTCCTATAGCTCCCAAAACCACCCCGAGGGAGGCCCTGTGGCAGAGCTGCCAGCAGCTGGATTATGCCCTCACAGCCATTCAGAAGTCCCGAGCACACCACGGGTGCCTCTTTATCGCACCGCGCCAGCCGCACGGCCCCAACGCGGCCGTTCTAGGGACAAGACACAGCCCCGGATACGCAGACCTTGAGAGGTGCCTGGAAGGTGGGCCCGAGGAAGACTTCATTTGCCAGGCAGCCCGGGGCCAGAACCACCACCAGCAAGGCTCCTCCACAGCTTCCGGCTCTGGGCTCCCAAGGCGCGGGCCAGGCCGTGACCGTGACACTGAGCCGGTCAGCTGGGCTGCTGAGCCTGGAAAGCTGGAGGATCGCGGTGCCCCCACCCCTCCACCACCTGGAGACCAGGGACCCGATCTTCCTGACCACGCAGGGCCAAGGCGCTGTCTTCCGTGCTGGGCTCGGGGACACCCCGGGGCAGTGCGACCCACACAAGCTACCTCCCACCTCCCTGATTTCTATCACAGTTCCATAGCGGCTGCCCATTTCCCCTTCCTCAAGTCTCTCCACAGTCTACTGCTGGCTCGTCTTTTACCAGATTGTTCAGCAAAGACGGAGACACAGCACATTTCCCTGAACTCCAGGGGAGGACAAAGGAAAACAGAACGTGGCAATTTTCTGCACTGCCCTGCCAGTACCAAAATCCTCCAGTTGTCGTGATCATGAAGCCCCAGCCTTAAACAGGCGTGAGGGAAGACCCGCTTAGATTGTAAAGGGATGTCTGGGTTCGTCAGTGAGCCCATGTGGCTGACGGAGGCCAAGGAAGCGAGCTGAGCGGGACAGCACTCTGCTACTTGACGTCCAGCACCTGCTTCCGCTGCCCGCCGGGGCACTGCCGTGTGCCCCCCAACTGCCCGTTTCGCTCTTTATTCCCTGACACTTCAAGGGTCACGGTGAAGCCTAGACTTCATTAAAATTCTCCCTCGAGGTCAATGAAAAGGGGCCCCAGTGACCGGAGCCCAGAAAGGCCCACTGGTGGGGAGCAGCACGAGAAGACAGCCACATCTCCTCCTGGCTCAGCCATGAACTTCAAATCAGGGTTTTCTCTACTACCGTTCTTGTGCTCGGAAGTCCCTCTTGCTCAGAACTTACATCTTGGGCTTCTTCTCCTCTCTTCCCGCTCTGCCAAATTACCTTCCGTTTCACCCTAACAGTGAGGTCATTAAAGAGCCTGGGAATTGTGTATGCTGCTTCAGGATCGAGAGATAGAAACTCTGCGATTCCCATTAGAAGCTCCACGAGGATATGCTCGGCACATGTCAGGCCACAATAAACATTTGTCGAATGAACACACACAAGAACTATTAATCACTTGCTTATTTTAGAGTTCTAGAAGAGTTCTGCTTATTTTTATGCACACCAACATTAACCTTCAACTCAACAATTCTTTTATAACATTCTTTAACAGAGTCCAACTACATCAGGCGTTGGTACTTGATAGAACACACACCATCTAATTAGGCAGAGGACACAGGAGTCCCAGGACCAATAGAAAAAAATTTTCTTCCCTAGAGACTGAGGTTTTAAACAATTAGTTTTTGGAAAGCAAAACCAAGTGTCATCAGACCAGGATTCAATTCCTGGCTTCACCGATAGCTATGTGATCCTGACAGAGCAATTTTCTCATTGAGCATGATCTTTTCCTCCCTGGGCGACACATAAAACGTTTGTTATTCCTCTGTCACTAACCAAGTCTCAAGTTCATGGTATGTTTACATCCAATTTTGAAATTTCTAAGTTCTTCTAAAAAATATTTATACGAAAAAGTTCAAGGTTTGATTGCAGAACTTCCTCAATCCACCTGAGGATCAAAATAAAGTACCAATGAGACCCTTAGCCTAGAAGGATTAGCCCACTATTGAATAAGGCAGAGCATTCAAGGTGCAGTTGGGAAATGGACCAGCACATGGAAGCTTATTTTTGCATGTCTGGGTTTGTGTTGGCACGTGCACGCACACGCGCACACACACACACACACACACACACACACACACACACACACATTACAGCAGCACTTCTCGAACATAAATGTGCACACGGGTCTTGTGGGATCTTACGAAAATGCAGATTCTGATTCTGAGGTCTAGCGCAAAACCTGAGATTCTGCATTTATAACAAGCTCCCAGAGAGGCTGCTACTGCTGGGTCCAGGGACCAGTGTGAGTAGGGAAGGAAGATAACTTGATCCTAAAAATGTCTAAGAAGGGGTGCCTGGGTGGCTCAGTCGGTTAAGCGTCCGACTTCAGCTCAGGTCATGATCTCGCGGTTTGTGAGTTCAAGCCCTGCATCAGGCTCTGTGCTGACAGCTCTCAGCCTGGAACCTGCTTCAGATTCTATGTCTCCCTCTCTCTCTGCTCCCTTCCCACTCACATTTTGTCTCTGTCTCTCTGTCTCTGTCTCTGTCTCTCTCTCTCTCAAAAATAAACATTAAAAATATTTTGGGGGGGCGCCTGCGTGACTCGGTCGGTTAGGCGTCCGACTTCAGCTTGGGTCATGATCTCATGGTTTGTGGGCTGGAGCCCCGCATCGGGCTCTGTGCTGACAGCTCAGAGCCTGGAGCCTGCTTCGGATTCTGTGTCTCCCCCTCTCTCTGCCCCTGCCCTGCTCGCACTCTTTCTCAAAAAAGGAATAAAACAAAATTAAAAAAAAACATTTTGGGGTGGCTGGATGGTTTAGCCAGTTGAGCATCTGACTTCAGCTCAGGTCATGATCTCATGGTCTGTGAGTTAGAGCCCCGCATCGGGCTCTGTGCTGACAGCTCGGAGCCCGGAGCCTGCTTCGGATTCTGTGTCGCCCTCTCTCTCTCTGCCCCTCCCCACTCGTGCTCTGTCTCTCTCAAAAATAAATAAATGTTTAAAAAATTTTTTTTAATGTCTAAGAAAGGCAGTAAGTCCAGGTCCTTATTGTGTTGTGGGTTATTTTTTTTTTCTAGAACTCTGTTTTCTATTATTAAATCAGCCTTTCAAATAAAAACAAAGCACCTATTGATCTGCACAACTAACTGCTCCAGATTCGTGTCCTTCAGGTGATCACACACTGAGCTCTCCTCCACACGGAGCCCATCCTGTTCGAGGGCTTGGTGCCGTCTCTGGAGCTGGGCTAGCAAGCTGGCCTTCCCCAGCCAGAGACACACGGCAGGGCTGGGGGTCTCTGTCCAATCATCTGAAGCCGACAAAGCAGCTCCCCCTCTTTTGCAGGCCTAAGCCTCCATAAACCTCAGCATCCCAATCTTACCATCGACCCGTGGTCTCAGATTCCTCAGGCTTAAGGCCCTGACATCTGGTGGTGCCACATGCTCAGGGGAAGTCTCCAAATACCCACCACTCCTTTTTTCTAACTGAATGGAATGTTCTGTAAGGGCCAGGCTCCAGTCACTACCTTTCCACAAGTCCCACTGGCCTGTGACACCTGTGGCCCAGTGAGGTTTCAGTCTGGTCACATGTGTGGGGAAAGGATGCTTGGGGTCAAATGTTATTCGCTCTAGAGCCGGACGTTATGCTAAACAGGGGGAGCTATGGGAAGCAGAAAAAAGCAAGAACCCCAGAGGGAAAGGGTATCCGGCCTGCGTGCCTGCTGCCTGCAAAACCAGTCGGAATGCACAGGGAGGGCAAAGAATCCAGAAGAACCCATCAGCAGCCACAATCCCACAAGCCCACGCCAGCCAAGGTGGCCTCCTGAGCCCTCGCTCAGTGGCTCATTACCAATTTCTCCTGGAACACGCTTGCCGTGGAAGCTAAAGCAGGCGGTGACATTCAGGCAGTTCACAGGCTGCAGCCCATCGTGACACTGAGGCGCCGTGATGTTGATGGAGGCCGGGAGGAAGATGGAGACATCCACCGTGATGACGGGTCTCGCCCTGCATGTCGAGAGGTGGAGGTGACTTAGTCATGCTCTCTCGGAACCAAACAAGAACTAACCGGGCGAAAGAAATCCTAGGCCTTCAGCCCAGCATTTAATTAAAGCATGAAATTACCCATGAGGGAAGGGCCAGTGTGCCCCGTAAATACTTTTTCCTGGTTTTAGAAGTGGTTTATTTCCTAATAAATTAATGGTTAGCTTCCCAGTAATAAAGGCAAGTCAGTTGTTAATAAAACACATCTGGTTGAAGCCATAAATGAACTGCCAGATGTTGGGTGATTATTTAAAATTTCACCAATTAAGTTCCGATTTCCATTTTATTAGAAAGATAGTAATATATTTAAGAGGAGTTCCTACAGCGGATGCCAGGGCTGGAGACAGAGATGCACCATGGGGAATCCCCCAAAGCATGTACTGTCATTGGGAACAAGAACTACAGAGTTCCAGTCCCATCCGCTGGGTCAAACCTCCCCCTCCATTTACTCCCCTCAATTCATCAAGTATTTTTCTAAAAGAATCTGATTCATGGAGTCCCAGCTGGTAACAGCAAAGCACTTCAGAGCTGAAGAAATCAACCGCTGGCCTCAGGAGCCAGTGAAACCCCATAAACATCCGCACTCTTATCGCCAACATGGACCACCCTCAACCCCCCACCCTGTGCTTACTGGATGCACAGCATCCCTGCTGTGCCCCCCGTGGATCCCCAGGATCGCCCAGGGAAAGCCGAGTGACTCCCACCATTCCACTCTCCTTGTAAACACCTGCTCAGGCACGGTTCACCTAAGCGGGTGGCTTAACCTTCTTCCCTCCAGGGCTCACAAAGAGATCCTCTTACCTCTAGGGAGCCCCGGCCTTCATGCCACTGGGGTGACATAACAAGATTAAGGGGCTTTAGTGGCTTGTGAACAATGACCTCCCTTGTGTGCAAAGATCCTGCGGAGCGCCCGCGGTGACAAGACAGATGGGAAAGAGGAACACAACTCTCAGAGACACAAGTATTAAGGAAGACCTCGGAGAAAGAGGGAAGGAGGGAGACACGAGGCCCGGGGGGGGGGGGGGGGGGGGGGAGGGGTTTTCACTGCTGCCACCACCGCCATGGATGTGGGCCAAGATCAGGACAGCTGTGACAAGTACAAGGGAACTGTGGGTCTCCCAGAGCAAATCCAGCTGAGAGGCCGGCAGAAGTCAGACAACAGCGGTGCCTGAAAGAAATCCAATGTGCTGGGGCCTTCCAACTTTCTTCTGGGTTCCTCCTGAGAAGATGCTATAAATAACTTAGAAAACAAATGGCCTGCTCTTGGTCAGTGTGTTTGTACAAATGCCAGAGACACTCTCTAAAGCCCCAGGGGTCCTTCTACAGCCAGCTTGCCTTCCCCCTCCCAGGAGGCCTTCCCGAAGACCCCTGGTAGTTGGGTCCCCTCCCCCACGGCCCCAGCACTATATTCACACCTCACCTCACTTATTAATTAAGTTCCTTATCTATTTCCAAACCTGCCCCACCAGCCTGCAGGTCCCTTAAGGGCTAGGATCCCAGCAAATTCATCCTGACATCCTCAGGATAGGTGTTCAAATTCCCTAGGTGTTAAATGGGTACCAACTTCACTCTAGGCCAAGGTGCTGAAAACCACAGGAGGGCCTCGAGTTTCATACAACTGACACAGGCACCAGGGAGAGCTGGTCTCCACCCCATGAAAGGCTCCACCCTGCCCAGGGCACATCCTGCCTGGTCACCACATGGAAGAAAGGCCTTTCTGCCTCCCACCATCCCAGGGGCCACCGTGTCGGGGAGGCCGCCTGGTCCTTCCTCACAACAGAGCCCTGCAGAGGATGGCAGGGTGAGCCATCTGGCAAACTGACAGGGACATGGACAGAGGCTATCAACGCAGAATCCTCTAATGTGAGGACAAGGACCTTCAGAAGCACATGTCCCACCAACATCAGATCGGGCCCTCGGACCTGTTTCAATTCCAAGAATCATCTTTGGACCACAGAAAGCCCCAAAATCTCTCCTGAACTCTCTCCCCATTTCCTTTGAACTTAAGTGGCACAGAAAGAGTAGCCTATCACCCTGACACATGCCCTTGCCCTCCCAAGCTAATCTGAGAAGGCAAACTCACGCAGGGCAGAGATGGGCCAGCCTCGGAGAGAAAAGCAAAGGGGCACCCAAGGACAGCACTGCAAAGGCTTTCAAGACTTTAAAGTTTATTTATTTTGAGAGAGAGAGAGAGAGAGAGAGCCCCCACATACACACAATGGGGGAGAGGCAGAGAGAATCTCAAGCAGGCTCTGCACGGTCAGCGTGAAACCCGATGCGGGGCACAAACCCACGAACCGTGAGATCATGACCTGAGCTGAAGTCAGATGCTTAACCAGCTGAGCCACCCAGGCGCCCCAAGACTTTATTTCTAAAAAGCTGGTGGCTGGAATACTTCTTTCTGATGACTCTGACAGTTCAGATCCTGATACAGATGGTCCCCGACTTATGATGGTTCGACTTAACGATTTTTCTACTTGATGAAGGGACGAAAGCCATGTGCATTTAGTAGAAACTGAACTTTGAATTGTGAATTTGGGTCTTTTTGCATGCTGGTGCTATGTGGGATGATCGTGTGGGGACCAGTGGGTATAGCTCCTAGGGTCAGCAACCAGTCACGAGAGAGCCAGATCTTCTGTACCCACATGGCCATTCTGATGGTCGCTCTCCATAGAGTTCAATAATTTGCGTGAGATAATCAACACTGTGTTATCAAATAGGCCTTGTGTTGGATCATTCTGCCCAACCTTCAGCAAATGTAAGTGCTCTCAGCACAGTCAACGTAGGCTAGGCTAAGCTGTGATGTTCAGGAGGTTCCAGGCAGTAAATGCATTTCCACTCATGATATTTTCAATTTATGATGGGTTTATCATAACATTAACTCCTTCCTAAGTCAAGGTAGATCTGTATTTCACCTGTATGTACTTCCAAGCAAACAGTAAAACCAGTTAGGATGTCCTCTGATGTGGTATCGGCTCCCATCACCCCGGCTTCCAACGGGGGCAGGTGCCGCTTATGGGACAGACACAGGGGAACAGACAAAGAGCCTACACCCCTGGTGGAGATGCCAGGCTACCAAACAGCCCTGGAGCCGCCTCGTCCAGGAAGCTAATGAAGGTCTAGGTACTTAAAACCAATCTCAGTAAGGTTTTTCTCTTAACGGCAGCCCAGAGGATTTCAAGCCCATACACATGTGGAGTCTCTTCCTTAGAGGCGTAAGAACGGGCGTGCTGTGTCTTGCACATACGCATACACATGCTTGGCTTCCTTTTCGGGTCCCACCCAAACTCCGGAGTGACTCAAAGTCCACCTGAGTTGCCAGCCAGCTAGGCCCTGCCGGAGATGCCCACCTAGCTTAGCCAGCTGATGTCTCCAGACCTTCTTGCCCACGGTTGTTCAGCCACGTCCAGCAGCTCATCAGCAGATGTCACCACAGATGACCAGCCTTCCTGGCCGCTCAGACATCCTCAGCAGTCCCTCCGCCTGCCTGCTCCTCCCTGTCCCCTCTCTAACGGGCCCCAGCTCACCTCTAAAGCTTTCCCTGCACTCTGAGTACCTGAATCTCCCAGAAGAGACCCGAGGAGCTCCTCCTCGCCCACGTCCCCTGCTGAACCTTGCCCGGGGCCTGTTCCGATCTTGGAGCCCAGCTCCAAGAGGAGGTCCCTGCCACTCAGAGCCCACACACATCCCACCTCCCTCCTCCCCCTTCAACCCCCATTCATCCTCGTCCTCTCCTCCCTGTCTCTTCCGGCCCCAAGGCAAGAGAGGGGTTGGGGCAAGGTTTGTATGGACAAGGGTGAAGTGAAAGGTGACCACCTCTGATTCTTGCAGGATAGTAAGGAACTCGGGAGAGCAGGGGAGGCTTCAAAGACGCTCTCAGCCTAATCCCAGAGCCAGGCGGCAATCCCATTTGCTCCTTTGTAGCCTGGCTGCTGGAAAGGAGTCAAACTCCACCATCTGTTTTCTTGCTTCTCCTTGTCTCTCTCACCCACAGCGATCTGACTTCGGCCCCTCACTTCTGTAGACCTGCCAGAGACAAGGGCACCGCTGACCCCACACCACCACCTCTAACAGGACTCAGTCTACATGGCCTTCCCTGCTGGACTCAATGCGGGCAGGTGCCCTCAACCACATAACCCTGCTCTATCATCTTCCCGGCACTGACCACAACCTACGATGATCTTCTTTTTTAAAATGAATAAAACTTCAGTGCCACTTGGTTTCCTCATCCGTAAAATGAGAATAAAAATATCTATATCATGGAGCTGTTACAGAAACTAAGAATTAGGCGTCCCTGGGTGGCTCAGTCGGTTAAGCGTCCGACTCTTGGTTTCGGCTCAGGTCATGATCTCACAGTTCATGAGTTCAAGCCCCACACTAGTTCAAACTCCACACTGACAGCACAGAGACTGCCTGGGATTCTCGCTCTCCCTCTCTCTCTGCCCACCCCTGCACCCCCCCACGCGCGCTCTCTCTCTCAAAACAAATAACTTTAAAAATTAAAAAAAAAAACCCTAAGAATTAAAATATGTTCTATCGACAAGAGAACCAATGAACAAACTACAGTATATTCAGTCAACGGACAGCTACTCAGTAAGGGGGAAAAAAGAACTGAACAACACACAAAGCATAGATGAGTCTCTATTGAGGGAAAGAAGCCAGAACCAAAAGGGTGTATACTATATAATTCCACTCATGTGAAATTTTAGAACAGGAAGAATTGCTCTATCAGGAGGGGGCATAACTGGGAAGAGGCAGGAAGAAACTTTCTGGACTGATGGAAATGTTCTTTATCTATTTTTTTTTTAAGTTTATTTATTTATTTTGAGAGACGGAGAGACAGAGCACATGAGCGGGGAGGGGCGGGGCAGAGAGAGAGGGAGAGAGAAAGAATCCCCAGTAGGCTCCGCACGGTCAGTGCGGAGCCTGATGTGGGGCTCGAACCCGTGAACCGTGGGATCATGACCTGAGCCGAAGTCACGAGCCAGACACTTAACTGACTGAGCCACCCAGGCTCCCAGCTATGTTATTTATCTTCACGGGGTGGCAGTTCCACGGGCAGCTACACTGGTCAAAACTCACCAAAGCAGTATGCTTCCATGGGCGGGCTCTGCTGTATGCAAATTTACCTCAATACAAAAAACAAAAAAACAAGAACCACCAAAAAGAGTTAAGGCACGTGAGTGCCTAAACAGTGCCTGGCATGTGGTAGGTGGGCACTTACCAAACACTAGTTGTATCATTTACTTGTTTATTGTTCTGCAAGGTGCACCCAGAATCAGACGCAGCTGCACCACAACAGGTCAATGATATCAGCCGAACAAAGGAGGGCCTTCTGCTGACCACCTCGGCCGGGCAGTGCCCCGCATTCCCTCTCCTAAAGCCTCTTCTCTTGATACGCCGTCCCACCATTCCCCTGGAAGGACCCTGCCTTCGTCCCTGGAAGGTCTCTCCTCACCAGATTCACCCCCGACCCCCACCCCAGGCTGGGGTCTGGGGCCCCCGTCACCGTGTAACTGCCTCACTTGATGTTGACATCCATGTGTGGGCAAAACTCCAGGAGAAGGCCGTGCGTTGCCATGAAAGAGAGGGAGAGAAAACCCCCTCTGGGCCGAAGCTCACGGCTGGAAGTTTATAAAATACAAGAATGACGAAAAGGAGAATTTCCAGGATCTACCTTAAGTCAGCCGCTCCCGGTTTTGAGAGGGCCTGTTTTCAACTGCGAGAGCCGGGGATCGTGTTTTGTTCAAGAGGAGTTGCGACAAGCCAGAGCAGGCTGCTCGGGGTGACGAAGAGGGGGAGGACAGCACAGAGGCACAGGGGTGGTGGGCGAACTCAGCTTCTGAAGTGTGACTTCAGTCATCTATCTGTACATAAGCTGGCTTATCTCAGAGGAAACGGCCAACCCACAGGAAGGGTTGGTTGATGAAGAAAGCGGAGACCTAATCACACGGCAATAATGAAAACAACAGGGAGGCGTCATCTTAGTGAAGTCACCGCTTGGGAGACACACATGCCACCGTCAAGTACGGAAGGGCTGCTACGTGCGAGATACAGGATCAAGAGGCAGAATTTAGCCCAGTTTATCTAACTGCTAACACGTACCGACCACCGGACCGTTCTTATGCATTTTGCTTGAACTACTAACTCGTACTAACTCAATGGAGTTCTACCAACCCAGTGAGCTAAGTACTGCCGTTATCCTTTTTAACGGGTGAGAATACTGAGAGAGGTTACCTGACCTACCCAGGAACCCCCCTCCTGCCAAACAGAGGAGGGGTTCAAATCCAGGCCATCCGTCCCCCCCCCCCCCCCCCCCCCCCCCCCCCCACCCACAGTTGACCCTCCTAACCTAAGGCTATCCTGCCTCCTTAACAATTTAACATTCCGATTACCTGGGGGTTAACTGGTTCCCTCAGAAGTTACTAAGCTCCCACCCCGGGGCACCTCGTTCAAAAGGAGGCCCTGTGCCTTGCTTGCAGCCGCTGGAGACTCAGGAAGGCACTCAGAGGAAGGCACTGCTGAATGAGAAGAATCTGCGGTGTGCAACTACATGGCCTCTGGGATCCCTTCCAGCTCTAAGATCCTACTGGCCCGTTTTAGAAAGTTCTGCCATCAGGTTATTAACAAAACCTAAGAGCTGGCTCCCACTCCAAAGGGTAATTCTGCCTCCTCTGACTCACACAGACAGAAATCCTTGGAGATGGTTCACAGTGGGACGGCAGCCCACAGCCTCTGTGGGAGAGAGCCAGGCCACAGGGGCTCTAGGAACCCTGGGCCCGAGCTCACGAGCTCACGTCCCTCACCTTGGCCTCCGCAGGCAGTGGTGTCCTGTCCTAAGGGCAACAGGCTCCCGGCCCCCAGGTGTCTAGGGAGTAACAGGTCGGGACTAAGAGATGGGACAGGGCAGTGCTTCAGAGCCCCCTTGAGTGTCCTGCACCCATAGGAAACGATCACATCGTGCACACATGTTAATGAAGCAGTTGTTCAAGGCAAGAGGCAAAGTCCCAGGGCTTAAGCCACCCCAGGCTCTGTCTAGAAGCTCCAGGGATGCTACCACCTCATAGCTGCAGGCCATTCAAGGTCCACCAGCTGGAACTCTGGGATAGGAGATAAGAAGAACGAGAAAAGAAAGGCAACATCCTCACTTTCCAAGCACCCCTCGCCTCCAGGAAGAGGACAGACGGAATTGCGGACTAACGGGGAATAACTCCCCTTACCACCCTACCGCCAAACTCCAGCCCCCACCACGAAGAATGCAATTCGAGAAGCATCTCACCTTAGAAGAACTACACTGTCGGACATGAAGGCTCCAACAGTCACATCTGAAAATGAGAAGTTCACAGCATTCAAAAATGTGTTGAAGCCCATCCCACCCGCCCCCCGCCTAGGTCCACAGCCACGGGGCCCAGCACTGAGGTCAGAGGCCCCTGACAGCCTTCCTCTGGGCCATACAAGAATCTCGTAAAAGTGAGAGCCACACCGTCCCGCATGGTTGCCCATCAGCAGGTGTGGCTTGTCGAGACCTTGAAACGTGGTCAGTCTGAACTGAGATGTGTAGGAAATGTAAAACACAGACCAATTTCAAAGACCTGGCGCAAAGAACATGAACTAGCTCAAGATTTTTTACATTGATTATCGGAATTAATTTCACCTATTTCTTTTCATCTTTTTTTATATAATTCCCAGAATATTTTAAATATATATGTGGCTCATGTTATGTATCTTTTGGACACCAGTGAACTAGAGAGATGGGTATTTGGAACTAGAGGACCTGGAAAAAGCTCCAGGTTCTGTAGAACATGTGAATCATCTCTGCTCCACCCCTCACTCTGTGTGACCTCAGAGGTTCTCAGGGTATCCTTGTCTGTAGTATGGACATAATTATCCCCAGTGTCTTCTTCAAAATCTGATGAGAGTTCATAACGTTTAAATCAGAAGACCTCTGTTAAATATTTATTAAACACAAAATTAAATAGTTGTTAAATATGATAATTTTAAAATATTTAAGTACATGTTAAATATGTTAAATCATATAGTTACATCTGAAAATTCATGAAATACTTAGCGCACTACAAACCAACCTGCAAGTGTTAGCTGGTAATGTTTATTCTTGGATAACTTTAATTTAGGAAATATATACTCATCCAAGAACTCTCTGCCTTTCTTCCCCTCGAATACAGACTCCTTAGTCCTGGGATTCCCATTACCGCCTCACAGAGCCAAGCATCTGAATCCGAGAGAGCCTGAATCCCCATGTCTATACAATACTCTCATCAAGGAAAAAGAAACAGCAAACCCATGAATTGTAGTGCTGCTAAAATTTCTGTACTTGGGTGTGCTTGTTAATTTTGCTGTTTCCAATAGTCTTTTTGAGTTGACTAGATATTTGAAAATAAAACAACCAGAGCAATTTGTCATTTCTTTTACAAAAAAGGCAAGGAATTCACACGGGTCACGAAGTGTGAACACACCTACTCACAGTGCGTGTGCAGAGCTGAAGGTATGTCCCCTCCCACCACGATGTGGTCTCTGGCCAGTCCCCTAAGTTCTCTGTGGCTCAGTATCCTTGTCAAGTGGAGGACACCCTGTCTCTACCTACCTGCTGAGCTAACCATAAGATGTATATTACATGTGGGAGCATTTTGCGTATATTGAACTGCTAAACCAATGTAAGGTATTATTTTGAGGCGGCCACAAATTACCCCAAATGCGAACAACTGCCTTCTCCCACTTACAAAGACCCGTGAGTGTCCACAGGAACAAAAACTTCGACAATGACCCTTTCCTATTCCTTCCTCCTAGCTCAGGAAAGTCACAAGAAATGATCAAAACTGCTGCCCATAAGAAACTACAAGAGTCCGGTGGTGCCCTTGTCCAGGATCGCACTGGATTTCAGAGATCCTTCGGAGGCGTTTTAAGTGGAAAGAAATACTTCCTGCAGATAGCAAGATGATCTATGGTTTCATGGAAACGTTTTCTGGATTCCATGATGGTTTTGGATTCTTTCAAATTTCCTTCCTTCCTTCCTTTCTTTCTTCCTTCCTTCCTTCCCTCCCTCTCTTCTTCCTTTCTTCTTCCCTCCCTCCCTCCCTCCCTCCCTCCCTCCTTCTCTCTCCTTCTTTCTTT